GCACTACCGAGCCCTAAATAAAGAAGTATCAGCCCCATCACTGGCCCTAAAGGATTCCTCCAGAGGCCTTTCTGAAGCAGATGATACTGTACCATTGGAAGATGTCCCTAAACCCAGGCTAGACTTGGACACAGTGAGTACATCAGCAATATTTTTGCTATGCCTTCAAGGCTTTCCTCTGACCAGAGGAAGCAAAGCCGACTTTCCATGAGGTTCTTTCTGCAGTAGCCTCCTGTAATGTTTCAATTACTGCCCTCAATGCTGAGATCAAAGGGGTAAAGCTGAAATCACATTTATCCAGCAAGATATGCAAAAATTGAGAAAAAGGACATTTGCACTGGAGGGGTGAGTCAGTTCTATGGAGGATGATTTGCCACCATTATGGAGGGATGTTAGTTATAATACCCCTGTTACAGCTCAACACACAACTCACCTGAAAATTCTTGAAACAAGGCTGAGGCGCAAGAAAGTGCATGTTATTGGAATCCTTGAGAAAGATGAAAGGAAAATCCAGTAACCTTTATTGAGCAGTGGCTACTTTAGATCTTTGGAAATTATGCTTTCTCTCCAATGTTTTCTGTGGAATGGAGACACAGGATTCGATCACACCCACCGCCGCCAGCAGCTAACCCTCACCATTTTTTGCTTTGGCTTCTTAACTATAAAGATTGAGATGCCATTCTTTCCATGGCCCTGAGTATGTCTGGAGACCTAGTCATTGATAACTGCAAGATCTTGCTGTTTCCAGATTTTTCAGCAGAATTGCAGAAACAGAGAGCCAAATTCACTGATGTTAAACACCCATCGTCTCAGGGCCCTGCATTTACAATATGCAATACTTTATCCAGCCTGGCGACAAGTAGTGGCCAAAGGGGAAGTTCACTTCTTTGATAAACCCTCTTCTGCAGTCTAATGGATGGATAGGGAAGAAAGATCTCTGAGTGCAAATTCCCATCCAAGTACATTAACTACTTGATGTATGGCAGCTTTGATTAAACCACTGATACACCTTTTACTGCCTTAAAATTTCTGCGCACAGGTGGACTGTTAATATAGCTGTTGTTGTGCCTTTCGTACCATTGCTACTGACTTACCTGTTGCTGAGAAGCTCCATGTCACCTTCTACAGCTTCCACTGTTGCCCCCACTATAGTCTTAAGTGGACTGCATGTTTTCTTGTTTTCTTATTTTGGGGCCCTGTTGGCCCAGGACATGTTAGACATTAAACCTTCATGGACTCCTCTTGTTCTTAGTAACCATTCCACATATTTATCCTGGCAAAGTACTCAGACATTCCTACCATGGTCTCCCTTCTGATGTGGTTTTTCCTTCTGTGGCGGCCTTCTGACATCTGGATGCTTTTGCACTGAACTCTTCTCTGGCCCTGGAGTGAACAGGACTCCCCCCTATTGTTTGGGCATATCCATCATCGAATTAATGCGTAGTAAGGCATAAGTGTTTTTAATGAAATGTCAGAGGCCTTGATAACCAATTGAAGTGTCTGGCGGTTCTCCTCATTATCAAACAATTGAATGCTGCTGTTATATGACTACAAGAGACACACTCACCCACTTCACCGCTACCTCAATTCCCAATGTGCCAGTTTAGCCATCAATTTCACTCCACTTACTCCTCCTATTCCGGGGGGGTGAGTATCCTTATCCGACAAGGGACTTATTTTTCATATACCATCTTGGTCATTGACCCAGAGGGCCTTTATTTTTTTTATTGTGTTTTCAATTTAGGGTCTGCATTGTATTCTGATGAGTATGTACATTCCTCCATCCTTCTCAGGCAAAATCTTTCAAACTTTAGTGTTTTTTATGGCCTGGGTCTCCAACACCCCACATTTAGTGATGGGAGATTTCAGTAGTTACTTGGATCCTCTAAAAGAACTAGTTGCTCCCAATTTCATATCCTCCTCTACTGGAGGCCCTACTTATTTTGCTCATTTTCTTCTGGAATTAGGCTTAACAGATGTATGAAGGATGAGACATCCAGGGGTTCAAATGTATTCATACTATTCTGTTTGTCTAGGATAGACATGGGACTGGGTAATACTACATTGCTTCCACTTCTGACCTCCTCTCATTGTGAACCTAGACATGTCTCTGATCACTCCCCATCTGGGTTGAGCTCTCTATACCTGACTCCCCGAGAAGCTCGAGGGGGTGAAAGTGGAAATTGTTTTGGCTGACCTTGTTTCCCAATCCAGACCCTGTGCCCGAATTGTTGGCCTCCTTTTATCACCACAATCTAGATACTATTAACCTAGAAGATGCTTGGGATGCCTCTAAAGAGTATTTGCAGGCTTAATTGATCAAACTCATTTTTTACAGTATATTAAAAATAACACAAAATCTTGGGAACAGATTGTCACAAAGGAGGCTCAAAGGGCAGAGGTGGTGTATATAACCAGTACCTCAGACAATACCAAGCGGGAATGGTTGAAGGCACAATCTACGTTCAATCAATTGGCCTTACAACTAGCCAAAAATAAACACTTCTTTTTACAGCAAAAGACAGTTTGAGGAAGGGGAAAATACTTGGCATATGTTGGCCATGTTAACAAAGACACAACAGGCTTTGTCCTATATTACTGCTATACAAGACTCTTATTACACATTATTCTACTTTGCAGATAAAGCAAGTAGTTTGCTCCTTTTTTTACTGACTAATACTCTTCCAAAGTACACATAACACAAATTAATATTACTAGGTTTCCGGATGCATGCCCTCAGCCTCACATATTGTCCTCGGATGCTGACATTCTAAATGCCCCATTGACAGAAGAGGAACTCCTCATGGCCCTGGTGCGAGCCCCTGGTGGGAAGGCTGATGGGTTACCTTTTGAAGTATAAAGGCGATATGAGGATCAACTCATACCTGTTCTCCTTAATGTTTATAAGTTTTTCCAGTTGGGTGCACTGCCCCATCTATGAATGAGGAAATTATTTTTGTTTTGTTAAAAACCTGGGAAGGGTTGTTGCCTGACTCCTATAGCCCAATCTCTCTCCTAGACTAGATTGGCAAAGGTGGTCTATAAATTGGTCCATAGAGACCACCACACAGAATTTGTGTAGGTTATATTTGAAGTTACAGTTATCAGTAGACAACCCAGGTACTAGGCTTTCAAGTGTTGAATGGCCCTATTTGTGGGAGGTCTTGGTGAATTTTGGTCTAGGCTCCAACTTTATTAAGTGCAGTAGATCCAGATCCTTTATGCGGTCCCATTTATCAGAATTCAGTGCTTCTTTACCTGACTGCGCAAGCTCAGTACAAATTGTGTCTTCCTTCCACTATTTGGGTATACAAGTTACTTCAGACCCTACTCAATACATAGAGCTGAATTTGCTGCCTCTGTTATGCAAATTCCATTCTAAGTGTTCGGTTTGGACAAAACTTCCTTTTTCAGCTGTTGGAAGAGTCAATCTCATTAAAATTGCGTTGGTCCCTCAGCTTTTATATGCTTTCCATAACTCTTCCATCTGGATTCCATGAAAATGGTTCTATCATATAGACTCCCAATTTAGAGCTTTGAGTTGGCGTAACAAAACAGGGAGGATTAGTCTTTCTACCCTACTATCTGGAAAAGATCAGGGAGGCCCTGCTGTCTTTCACTATAGATTTTATTATGTTGCTTCTCAAATTCAAGACCTAGGAGGCTGGGGCCACAGGGACCCATTGGATCCTATTCATAGTTTATTCGTACTGTGAGGATCTCATAGTCTCACCCTCTCCTTTTTGGAGACAGGGTTTACACATCTAGACCCTTTACTCCCACCAACAAAACTCTGTTAAGGACCCTGTGGTCCTATGTTAGAACCACTCTGGGTGTTCTTGGGGTTTGCACCTATACTCCAATATGGCATTACTCTAATTAAAACTAAAGGAATTTCAGACCTGCCACAGAATGGGTATCTAATATATGGCACAATTGCATAACGGCTCAGTGCTTAAATACTTTTATAGATTTGCAAATGTAATTTTCCCTTCCCAGGAATAAGTTCTATAAATATTTATAACTTAGGCATGCCCTCCAGGCACAGACGTGCATCTCTAAGCTTTATCTAACAGACCACCCTCTGATGATGATGGAAAGAGATAAGCAGGGTGTGATTTCCAGGGTGTGTGTTGCATTTTATTTAACTCCACCCATGATGCTTCTAAATTATCATGTAGAAAGGGCTGGGAAAGAGATCTAGGTCCTACAGATGGTGATGTATGGGAGCTTGGCTTAGCCTCCACTCCTTTGGTGTCTGTGTCAGCATCCCAAAAACTTTCCCAGCTATACCTACTACACAGAGCATATATGACACCCACCCAGATACATAGATGGGGGAGCAGACCTACCCCTTTATGCCCAAAATGTAAATGGGATAATGGGGACCTCTTGCATATGATCTGGCGATGCCCCATATTGTTTCTTTACTGGTCAGATATTATCATCACAATATCTCAAGTGTTTCTGTTTCAAATTTCAAGCAATCCTATTGTTTGTGTCTGGAAGAAGAATCACACACACACCACAAACCCATACAACGGTTTTACGTTTTTATTATATCTTGCCCCCAAACTGATGAGGTGAACAATATGCTCATACATGAAAAACTCACATATCAACATAGAAATGTCCCAAAAAATGTTATTCTTTAAGGCAGCCTTGGCTAGATATACCAGGCCTTGCACCACATCAATTGGTAAGAGATAGGCTTCTGTAGGGTTAAGCCCGGGTTAGGGATCTACATAGTTATCTTGTTAATTTGGCCAGATGATAAGTGCTCTAAGCTAAATATCTGGAACTCTTAGATAGCACTTTTCCTATTTTATTTTCACTTATAATAATGTTTTTTTTCTATAATCTTCTGTTGGCATGGTGATGTCTGTTTGATCTAAGTAGGACAAGCATTTTAACTGATTGGCATAGCATCTCTTGTTTCTTCTCTTGCTGAAATGTACAATGACAATATATGCAAACGGAATCCTGTACATTGTATTGTACCTCAATGCCTTTATGGATGATCCTATGCAGGGGCGGGCTGACCATTCGAGCACTCGGGCACTGCTAGAGGGCCCGGGGTCAGTAGGGGGCCCCATGAAATGCCCCTGGTACCTTTTTTATAGGATGTTTTGAGTGTGGGCAAGGACACAGGGGTCCCATGATCCCCTATTGCCCGGGGGCCCCATGAGTTGTCAGTTCGCCCCAAATCCTATATTATTTATGCTGTACACCCCATGTCTTAAATAGACATTTTTTTCTGGTTAAGAAAAAAATAAAGCACAATCTCAAATAACAAATATTAATTATGTAAGATAAATAAAGAAATAGGTAAGAGAAAGGTAAACACTAAAGGGCAGTTTGAAAAAAATAAATGACTGTAACACTGTTCAACAGGTAAAAAGTTTTGGGCATAAAATTAGCTAATCTTACATAATTTTGGGGTGCTGAAAACGAAAATGACCCTAAAAAATGTTGATTGGCTCTAGTTTCCATGATATATTCACCCATCTAATGACGTAAGCCATTCAAAATTATGATGCAACTTCAGCTGCATATTGCGCAATTGATACTGGTGACCAATAGAAAATTGCATGTATACTGAGATGATGCAATATTAGCCTTTAATTGCATCACTTCACTGCATAAAAGCTGCAGTATCTGTAGCTGATTGTAGTTCGACAGCGTCTTTACATTTCGTTTTATGCTTATATAGGCTACTCAGTAATGCCTCGAACTTGTGTGAATAAAGCAGATAATTTCTGCTATATCTGCGGTGAAATAACTTTTATCTCACAAAAAGGAGGATAACAGGAATGATTAAGAAAACCTACAACTTGTATTTTGGCTGCAAGATAGGAGACCAGGACAAGAGCTGGGCACCACATATATGCTGCAATTCTTGTGGGACGGCACTGGAGCAATGGTTGAATGGAAAAAAGGCATCTATGCCTTTCGCTGTGCCAATGATTTGGAGAGAGCCAACAGATCATGTTAGTAATTGTTACTTTTGTATGGTGCCTCCAATTGTAAAAGGGCTAAATAAGAAGAAAAAGTTATCTGTGCACTATCCAAATATTCCATCGGCAATACATCCAGTTCCTCATGGAGAGGGGCTACCAATTCCTAAAGCACCAGAATCCTTCGTGGTTGTGTCAAGTGAGGAAGAACCTGAAGCGTGTAGTCACGTGCAGTTGTAAGAGATAGCCCTTTCCTCGAATACAAGAGAAAAGCCAAGAGAAGCAAAACCGACACAAACTGAAGACAAAACTAGTGAGAATCCTAAGTATTAAAATGATTCAACTTAGCTTATGGCTATAATTTTTCTTGGTAATCCTATGCAATATATTATGCCATTTAGGCTTTGTTATGTAGTCAATATCACTTGCTTTATATTTGTGGAAAGACATCTATCTATATAATTATTGTGCATTATGTAGTCATTACGCCTATAGTAGTAGAAAACTTTCCGTTTACAGAAAAAACTAGAGCCAATTGACAAATTTCATTGTTATATTTGAACTCAGAATGTGAAATTCATTAAGAAATGGATCCTTTTGTCCTATTTTGTTTCCAAAACTGGCAAAAAATAAAAATTTGTTGAACAATCAATGAGAAGGTTTAAGCATTATTTTGAATACATTTCAGAATGAGACAGGAGATAATAGGGATGTCCACAGGATGTCCATGCGTTCCAATAAACCCTGGGCTTGAGTAATGAGGCGTTTCATCCTTTGAATGTTGGTAATAGTTTCTATTAAATGGATCCGAGAAGTGGCCTTAATGGATAATCAGTGGGATGATATACTATAAGTCTAATGGCTCTGTTAAAATATAAACAGTAAGTTTCTTAGTGTTTTTTTAGATACACATTTGAATCAGATGGCTAAGAGAAAGTGAACAGGATCTGTAGGGAAAGAGCCATCCAGGACCTGCCATAAAAGAGTAAGGAAACTGAGTTCCAAAAGGGTTGAATCTTTGGGCATAGTCAGAAGATATGGAACAATGTACCTTTACCCTGTTGGCATCTCTAGTAGGTCTCTGACCTTTTTGGATTAATCGATCGTGTTTTTATACCAAAACATTCATATATAGATTCTCCTTATATACCACACATTTGGATGATTTAGCAGCTGAGTCTCATATTTTATCCCAGGATTTTAAGGTTATATGGTATTAAAAGCACCATTTCCTCATATAAAGATGGAAGTCCACGGTCAGCAGAGGAGCTTCATGAAGAATTCGATAAATAGAGGAAATTCCATGTTGTTGGAAGTGACCCTGGACACATACATGCTCAAATTTCATAGGCTGTGCTAATGTTAAAAAATAGATCGCATAGAACAAAAATAGTGTCTAAACTGAAGATAAGGATAAAACATATTGACGGGTAATTTCTTATTAGACTGTAATTCCCAAAATGGGCAGATTTTTAAAGTCCCTGGGCAAGGGGATGAAACTGAAATACCTCTGCTTTCGCCCAGGGTAGCATTTGGCCATATGATAAACTATCTGGGAGTACAGGATTAAACAAGACATTAATTAAAGGTGAGAGGATGAGAAAATGAATGATGTAGAGTTTATGGACAGGTGATTAGAAGGTGAACTGTTTATGTAAAAAATGTTTTACCCTCCAATCATAAAAAAATTAAATTCTCTAATCAGTCTGTGAAAAGAGGTAGACAGCCTATGAATCTGATCAGATAAAGGTTGATCCCTGAGGGCATGTCTATCTCTAGTTGGAGGCATACAGTAACTATGTTGAAGTCTCCCCGTATAACAGTGAATGCTTCAAGGGTTTTTTGGCGAAGACTTAAGTAAAATGTAATTTGCCCAGTTAGGAGTATATACTGTACATTCAATAAGGTGAGAGGAGTACCATCACATTTATAATCTAATAAAACATATATGAATAAGGGATGTGCTTTGAAATGAACTTGAAAGAACCTCCCTTATGGAGATGTGTTTCCTGTATCATAATTTCTGTGCATCTGCTTTAGAGGCTTTAAATTCTTTCATGGCTATCTACCTTTTCTTTACCACTTCAAGGCCGGACACTTTTACCCCCTTATTTCCAGGCCAATTTTCAGCTTTCAGCGCTGTCACACTTTGAATGACAATTGTGTGGTTATGCAACACTGTACCCATGTGAACTTTTTAGCATTTTTTTGAGACAGATGAAACTTTATTTTTGTGGTATTTATTCACCGCTGGAATTTTTTTTGTTTTTTGCTATATAAATGAAAATGTCCCAAAAATTTTTAAAAAAGTGTTTTTCTTATAAAATGTTGCAAATTAATAATCTTTCTTCATAAATCTTGGCCATAATTTATTTAGTTATATTTTTAGTAAAAAAAAATACCCAGATTAGTTTATAACCAAAAATTATAATTTTTCAAAAAATTTTTGTTACATTTTTTATTTATTTTTTTATATTATTTATGTTGTTTTTTTTTAAATATACTGTCACCCTAGCAGTACAGTGTCACGATAGTGACACTATACTACTTGTGGGGGGTGATGAAGATTTTTTTTTTTTTTACACTGATTGCTTTTACACCCATAAAGGCTGTAAAAGCAATCATTTCTCCTTCTCTCTGGCTGCATTCTTGCAGCCACTGATAAATACTGTGTGAGCTGTGATTGGTCACAGCTTGTCACACGGTACAAGGCTGTTGTGAATAACCTTGTACCATGTGACCTCTGTGATCATTCACAGATTTTACAGGTAGTAAGCAACGATGTCAGAAGTGACATCTTGCTTACTACTATTCATGTGATCACTGATTGGCCAATCAGTGATCACATGATCGGAACCTCACACAGAGGTACCGTACAACAATTGGTGTTCCGCTGTGTCCGGAGGACACAGTGGGCACCAGATCATGGTGCCACGCACTCCCAGTGAGTGTGCACAGTCCAAAATGGAGGGCGCCGTTTATGAATGGCAACCCGTCCCTGTACTGCCACCGTCTGGCTGTTTATATACTTTGCCAGACGGAAAGTGGTTAATAGAGTTTAAACCCTTGACATTAAAAGACTTAATCTGTATAGTCATAACATTGATAAATGATAAACAGGTTTTGGGCACCTAGATGCCAAACAGGTTGAAAAAAATCCCTTTATTTATTATGGTAATTAAATTAATAATCTAAAGCTCAGTAACAGTAACCAATAAAACAAGGAACTAGTAACATACGTATGGCCTAGCTGAGGCCAGTAAAATGAACTCAGTAAAACTGCTATCCCTGAGGTGTGAATGCAGCTCAGAATACCATGACACCTGTCATGATACAAGTCGGGGAACATGATGATAGACAATATATGGCAAATGCTGTCAGCTGCGTTCCACTTTGAGGCAAGAGAATGTAATAAACAATTATGCTAGAGTAATCTGCATGGGTAAGCAGAGGTATCCCAGAAGGGATCAGGCATTATAGGTAAAAAAAGGAAGGAGGTCAGGAAGGAGTATAGATCTATGTTTTTCACAAGAACATTTGAAGCCACTTACTGTTGACTGACCCGCTACCTCTGTTTGAAGTCTATTCCATCAACTACTCTTTCAGTAAAATAATACTTTCTTGACTAGTTTTGAACTTTCCTCCTGCTTGTTTGAGGACATGTCACTGTTTTCTTGATCTTGGCTTCATATTGGAAATATTGCCTTTCTGAACCTTATTCACCCCTTTAATATAGTAAATATAGTACATATTAACATCCTGAAGTCTCTAGTGATATGTTTTATCTCTCCGATGTTTTACAACAATGTCCCACCGTATCTAACATTCTTCAATTAAAAAAAAAAATAATAATTATAATGTTCTTGCCTGACCCAGTAATTCAGTGTTGTGTAATATTTGTTAGTTAGGGAATATGTCACCAGCACACCGAGGATCACCAATATGGGTCCAAAAGTTTTAGTCCAGTGTAGTTCTGTGTGAAGGAAATGTGGCATGTTCCGCTTTTTTCTGCAGCTGGAACGCACTGGAACTGCAAGCATTGATGTGGACTATGACATTGACAACCATGTAGCCTACTTTCTCTGCGTTTTGGATGCAGAGGAAAAGCAATTGAAACACGCAGTGTGAACTGGCCCTCAATCTGCTTCTTTTCTGTTCTTTTTCTTTTTTCTTCACAGCTCATCTCTGCAACCCTGCCCACCCATTGGT